TTTAGACTTATTGAAATTTGATAATAACTCCAAATTAAGCTGATAAACTCATAGAGCACATAAAATAACACATGCCTATCATATTTGAATTTTCTAAAAATCTCCAAAAAAATCGCGTTTTAAAAATTTCGTAGTTAAAAAGTAAATTTTTCACGATAAAAAAACTATAATTGGTTTTTTTTGGAATTCTTCGAGTTAGAAAATCTTCTCTGATTCTTCATGCAATGTGTGTTTTCACGTTTCAAAGGCGGAAAACGCTTTTTTGGAATGCATTGATTCAGAATCACACGGAAAAATGAGTTTTTATTAAGAAAATAGACAAGTCATGCAATAACAAAGCATACGATAGTATAAAAATCAAAACTATTTTCCCATAGGAAAACAAAAAATAACGTATATTTTTAGTGAGTAGGTATTCATCGAGCATACTCCCACTATAAACTATTTTCTAGTTTTCTGGCCGGCAAAGAGCCAGAGAATCACAACTACAACAAATTATGGTGAAGTTATCTTGATTTTCCATATAATTTGAGAGAACATCCGAGAACTTCACCATAAACGAAATACAAACAGATTCCTTGTTTCTCTGCGGGCCAACAATCACATATACATTACCTTAGGGCAAAGTTCTTCCGAGGTTTCTCATCAAATGAGAAACTTGAGCAGAACTTTGCCCTATTCGAGTAAATTTACATTCTCTGACGTGAAGAGAGTCATAGAAATACACAAGTATTAACTTATGGTGAAGTTTTCTGGACTTCCTTCCTCATCTGAGAGACATCCAGATAACTTCATCATAAACGAATTACAGACAAGTTCTCTCGCTGTTTGCAGGACAAATACCACAAATTCATTACACTATTGAAGAGTTGTTCCGAGGTTTCTCATTCGATGAGAAACCTCGGAAAAAATTTGCTCTAGTGGAATAAATTTACCTCCCCTAACACACAAATGATCAGATATAACAAGCACAGATTTTTAAGGTATAGCTTTGTTGAAAACCTTTCAACGAATGAGAAAGTTAGGAAAAACTCTACCTTATAAGATCAACTATAGAATTCATAGCTCTTTGAATACTAGGAAACATTAATGCAGTAGTTTAAGGCAAAGTTTTTCCGAGATCTACGAAGGATAGAGAGATCTCGGAAGAACTTTGCTCTGCACAAGTAATTTCAGAATCTATGGTCCTCTAAGGACCAGAGGACGGTAATGTAAAAGAATGATGTCAATAGCAGATAAATAATAGCCTTAGAAGTTCAATACGTGCACAGTTTGACTACATTGCCCTAGTAGTTAGACTGTACAGGTATTGTACTTCTGGCCTAAAAAATCCTCATTGAAGACAATAGGTAGAAACTCAAATTGTTGATAAATATCCCAAAATATCATAAGAGAGCCCATTATTGTTACCTGGCTCCTTCCTGGCTTTCAAAGTCTGTAAACGAGAAGTCTTGGCTCTTGTGGTAATTGCTTCCAAGAGGTTTACTCAATTCGAGTAAAACTATAAACCCTGTAACTGACATGTACTTCCTTGAATGGGCATTAAAAGTAATTTAACCTAACGAATAGTAACATGACTCTCGTAAACGAAAAAGAGAATTTGACGCAGTCAAATCCTCTCTCTCAAAAAGTGGACTTTACATGGCAAATTTCAAATGCATGTAAGGTCCAATTTGATCAGTTTCAGGATGGAATTGGAGGCCATGAGGTACTGACATTGCATCAGTATCTCATAGCCTCCAATCCCTTCAAAAAATGGGAGAAACTTTGGTCGAATAATTTAACATTCGGCCAAAGTTTCTCCCATAATTAATGAGAATGAAAGGGTAAGAGGCATATAGGGTCACTATATACCTCTTACCCTTTCATTTTCATTTGGAGGTCAACAAACCCGGAGTTAATTGCAAACAATTAACTCCAAATTTGTTTATGTTAAGGAAGGAATTGGAGGGTAAGAGGTACATAGTATGAATATGTACCTCTTACCCTGCAATTCCTTCTAGAAAGTTCCAAAACTTTGGGTTAATTGCAAACTATTAACCCAAAGTTTTGGAACTTTCAAGTGGAGATGGAAGGCTTTGGGGTATATATTAATATAATATACCTCAAAGCCTTCCATCTCCACTACAAATGAGAGAAACTTTGTCCGAATAGTTTAACATTCGGACAAAGTTTCTCCCATTTTAAGAAGGAATTGGAGGGTAAGAGGTACATAGTATGAATATGTACCTCTTACCCTGCAATTCCTTCTAGAAAGTTCCAAAACTTTGGGTTAATTGCAAACTATTAACCCAAAGTTTTGGAACTTTCAAGTGGAGATGGAAGGCTTTGGGGTATATATTAATATAATATACCTCAAAGCCTTCCATCTCCACTACAAATGGGAGAAACTTTGTCCGAATAGTTTAACATTCGGACAAAGTTTCTCCCATCTTTCAATGTAATTGCTACCTGTGAGGTACTGACTTGAAGTCAGTGCTTCACAGGTAGCAATATCCAAAAATTTAAAAACATTTTATCAGTTCGTTAGAGAACTAGAGCCTCCTAGGTACTGAACCAGAATCAGTGCCTAGGGGACTCTAGTGATCTATATAAATCTGAGAAACTTTGAGGAAATTGTTCGACATTTCCTCAAAGTTTCTCAGCAATTTAGCGAGGAATGTTCGTTATCGTGTAGATATTTATAATATATACATGATAACAAACATTCCCCGCTAAAAGATGTAAAATCTTATAAGAAATAATTGCAAAAGAATAACAAATTGCAACAAATTTTATATGAAACTGAACCTTATGAGGTAGTGATTCAAGATCACCGCCTCATAAGATTCAGTTTCAATCTCAAGTATCTCAAAAGTAAGGCTCTATTTTTTGCCATGTAAAGTGTCACTTTACTGTCAAGCCGTTTTTATCGTTTTCGTTTACAACATGACCACTATTTTGATGACTAAGAAATGTAATTCATCAAATTGGCAGTTCGATGAATAATACCATGCAATCAACAACTGGTTTGTTACAATTTGGCTTGATTCATCAAATTGGCGGTTTGATGAACCGAATATTGTAATCCAGACTAGGTCAGTTACAATTTGGCTTGATTCATCAAATTGGCGGTTTGATGAACCGAATATTGTAATCCAGACTAGGTCAGTTGCTTGTTGGTCATAGATAATAATGACACCTTTCAGTTTTTGTTAAACATCTCAATTATCCCGCCAAAAATTATTGGGTCTAAATTGGTTTTTATTATTATTATTTTCAGAAACAAACTAACTTGTTTTTTACGAATTTATCATTCATAAAGTCTTTATGATATATTTTCAACTTATAATGAATATGAAATTATAATTGTTATTTTGAAAAAAAATTATTCATGATCAATTCATGATTTAACCAGTTCCTTCAAATTAGGAGAGCATATTCAAATATAATCGCTCATTAAAATCAATTTTTATGTTTTTTTTTAAATCGAAATTATCTCATCATAAACCATGCAAACTGACTATTTGTTCTTATCACCATGTTACCAATATCAGAATTGTCTTTACAGCCAAAATTTCGCTCGATAAAAGTCCATCCAATAGTGAGATAATTGAGCAACTAACATTTTTCCATATCACAAAAAACCTCCCCAAATTTTATCGTCTTTTAAGGGTCCACTGTAAAAATTGAAAGTCTCTCAAAATTGAGAGGCGATTTGCAAATAATCGTTATCGTCTTTTTTCGAAAATCCACTTTTCCTAGTGTTCTGATTAATATTTTGTGAATGTAACAATAAAGTATATGTTTTAGTAAGATGATAATACATTCTATCACTTCAAATCACATAAAAATTGCAAAATCAGCGAGTTTTATAAGAACATGATTTTTTCGAATTTTTTCGCTTCTGGATGCGTGTTTTGAAAAATAGATATTTTCGAATTTTGATTTTAATTTAAGTATAAATTTTATATTAGGAATTTTTTTGACCTATTTCCAATCATTAATTCCTAAGTTTTTCTAGGAATTTAATTGAGAAGAAATTAGGAAATTCGCTTTAATGCCATTACATCCTAATATTGTGATGCATGTAGTTTATATTTATTGAGGCTAATGCCGGAATATCGTGCATTTTATAAAAAATTCAAAGAATTGACAATTGGATAGCACAAATTTAATTCTCTAGACAAAGTATTATTGTTTATATATTCAAAGCATTATCCTTCGTTTTGAAATGTTGGCCAAAAATTTTCGTGTTATTTTTTGTGTTTCAGCATAAATTATGTATTGACTTATGAAAGATAAGCATTTTATTCATTATCATAAAGATATACCAAAACAAATTGATAAAATTTAAAAAAATGTGTATTTTAGTGGGTATTATTCTGGCCAATGCCCATTTTTAAACGATTTAATATTGACCATATCAATAGCCGACTCAATCTAAAAATTTAGATATTACTTTTTTCATTATTCAAACTTTGATAAATTTTAGTATAATGAATGATTTTGTTTCGTGTATGATACAGAAATGAAAAGCTTGATTAATATCATTTTGCATTTTTTCAAGAATGTTAGAGTACATCTACATTAAAAAATCGGATTCGAATTGCGATACTGCATCAAATTGTTGCACATCTGATAAGGATCTCAAAAGAGTAAAGTTAATTTTTTTGTGTTTTTTTAAGTTTTGGGCCTTAGTAAAACACCATCTTGAGCAATATTTTTGGGACGACGATAGGCCTTATTTGGCCTTACAGTGGACCCTTAACGTACATATAAATTTTTATTTGGTCAGTAAATAATAAAGATATGACCATAAATTTTATACCATAGTATATGTATAAAATATGAATATTATTGGTATAATCAAAGTTCCAAAAAAACTTTTCCTTCCCCTATTTTTGGGGGCGAATACACCTTTTTCCCGTACCTATATAGCAATGAAAACATCAAATTGCAATTCAAAATTTTAATTGTTTTTTGAAAGTAAATTTTTTTCCTTCATTCAGAATTTCAAAATGAAGATTGGTATACAGTGGGCTAGAGGCAAAATAAAGCTGGAAGTCGACCCAAATGAACCAATTCAGAGTGTTATAAACAGATTTGCCGAAAGTATTAAAACAGAACCTAATTATGTCGTACTTTATAAAATTCTTGGTCAAAATGGATACGAAGGCCGTCTTGACAATAAGTTAACAGTTGGAGAGTCTAATTTGCACAATTTCGATATGACATATGCGAAATTATTAACAGAAAAATTACCTGACGTAGAATATGGCAACTCTCTTGGTAAAGCGTTCGCAATCAGTGACTTTATCAAACAAGATACGATTATACCAGAACATATTAAAGAATTTACCAGTGAATTCGGTCCTAAAGCAGTGAATGTTCAATTTTTCGAGTTAGCTGATAGTTTAATTCCACAAGTGATCAATCAAACAGAATCCAGTACATACGCTATTCGTGTTGGTGTCGAAGCAATTAAAAGATTCCAAATTGTTTCTTTAAATGAACATTTCAAAAATCATCGAATGATGTTCTTATTTGGACGTGTCGACAAGATTACAGGAAAGGTAACTGTTCATTGTGGAATGGAACCTCCACAATTTAACAGTCCCGATCATTTCACAATTGTTCCAGAGTTCGAGATGCTTCGACCATGCCAGATTGCACAGTCCTTTGGTATGCAATGCGTTGGTATGGCTGTTGCTCACAATTACGGTCCAAAATTGCCACTTCCTGGATATTTACTCAAATTGGCCGCTCATTTTCAAGTTAAATTTGGAGAATACTTCACAACTCTTGTTTTCATGCCTAATGGAACTAATAATATCGAAGTAAACGCTTACCAAGTTTCAGATGCTGTTACAAAACTAGAAAACTTAGGTTTGATAGAAGAACCAAAGAGCTACAGTGATCAGAAGGAGATAGGACTCATCAGATTCAAGAAAGATGTTAGAGTTTCTGGAGCAAAAAAGAGATTTTGTAATGTAAACTTCTGCCTTTGCGCCGTGAGAGTCAGAAAGGTCAATTCCAAGATCCCATCTCACGATTTCCCATCTCCAAACTCGAAACCAACGAAAACAGATTTGATCAGATATCTCGATGACAATGAGTACTCTCCAACCTGGAGGAAGTTCTTTGACTTCAATTTCCTCGTATATCTCGTTTCTCAAGAGTTAATTACAATCAAAGATATCGGAGATATTTCTACTTCGATTGTTACTATGACTGATATACCAAAACGTATAGTAAAGAAGGTAGAAAATTATTACGGCAAAAATATGTAATGTTATAATATAAATGTAAAATATTAACTTATTCATTAAACATTTTTCAAAACATATATATGTTTATGTGCTAAAACACATATCCAGACATTGACTTTAGATAATATACAAGATTGGTTAATATGATGATTAAAACCTAAAATACCATATCAGCCAATATTTGAACATGTGAATAATTCAATGTTTTATTCGTTAAGCTACTATAACAATGTTAAGGTGATTTATACTCAAATGAGTTATAGAGCAAATATCTGGAGGGACAATTAGATAAATATATTAAAAATCGATATCATATTAGTTAGGCTTATATAACAAAGTTTTACTCTAAATTTATAACATTTTAGTATTAAAAGAAAACAATGTTATTAATAACTAGTATAAGTTGGCTTATTCTTAGAAAACATGAAAATCCATGATTTTTGATAGGTGATTCTTGAAAAACTTTCCCACAATCTTCTGACTTTTGAACAGAGAACAAAATTTCTGGAACATTAGATGTTATCTTGACAGATGAATCATAATTAATATTCCCTCTATTATCAATAAGTTTGTTGCTTGGACAATTGACAAAACTATTTCGAACATTCATCGATGAATCTATCAATTAAACACAGACAAATACGTCGATGTTTCATCTATATAAAACCAATTGATACTGCATGAAGTTGTATAATGAGATGTAATGTGACCATAATCTGCTACAGTTTTTGATGTAAGACTAACATTTTTATATACAAAATAGGAAAGTGCAATTTGTTTACTTTTGAAGTTATTCAGACCAATAATAGGACCAACATTGTCTGTAGCCATGATATATTTTGTATTTGATGTTTTAGTTTCTGATATTATAAACGCTAATTCTTGTTCTCCTTTATTATTCGAGAAGTTTGAATTAAAAACCATTTCATTTACAGAAGAAAAGTAACAATTTCCAGCATAACCGTTATTGTAGCACGCAGAAATGAAATTAACATCTAAAAGATTTGTAGTGCTTAAATATCCAAAAAAACCATAAGGTGATTTTATTTTATTACTACATTCATATCCACAGACCTTAGTGATGTTTAAATTTGTAATGACACTAACATAAATAGCACCACCTTGGTTACCACGACATTTTGTAAAAATCGAATTTGAAAAAATTACATTTATATTTAGATTGGTAATGCAAATTGCTGCTCCATTAGCATTTTCATTGACAAAATTAGTGAATACTGCCTTGTCAATCTTAGATATTGCGATAATCTAAATATTATCCACAAAGTACAGATAAATTTATAATATTGAGTTGCTCATCACATTCAAATTTTGAACGATCTATCAAACTATTCTTTACTTCTGAAATAAAGAATGTAGCAATTCTATTTGGTGCTTTTCATTATTTAACTTGAGAACTCTGTACTATTTTTATATCGAAATTTGAAATATTATCTATATGAGTTTATCAGTTTTCGTTAGAGAAATCCATTCTAATGGTTTGTTATTTAATTAGACAGAAGTTTTATCATTATGAGGCTTATATCTTAATCAAAATTTAGTGTTAAGATATAATAATGTTATTAAGAACTAGTAGAAGTTGGTTTATGCTTAGAAAGCACATTAATTGATGATAATTGATAAGTGATTCTTGAAAAACTTTTCCACAATCTTCTGACTTTTGAACAGAGAACAAAATTTCTGGAACATTAGATGTTATCTTGACAGATAAATCAGAATCAATTTTGCCTCGAATGTCAAACAGCTTATCAATTGGGGCATTTACAAAACAATTTCGAATAATCATCATATTGTCTGCACAATTAAATACCGGCAAGTCTGTAATCGGTATGTCTACATAAAACCATTCAACACTGCAATACATTGTTAAATGTGATACAATATGACCCAAATAGGTAAAAGTTTGGGAATTAAGGGTGACATTTTTATAAACAAAATTTGAGAGTACTATATTATTACTCATATAGTTATTATTTCCAATAGCAACACCAAAATTGTCACAAATAGTTATGAAAGTAGTGCATGAGGACGTTGTGTATGAAGTTATAAATGAATGCTCTTGATGTCCATTGTTTTTAGAATAGTTTGAGTTTGAATGTATTAAATTTCCAGAAGCGAAATTACAATTCCCAGCATAGCCGGTGTTACAGCATGCTGAAATGAAGTGAGCATCTAAATAGTTTGTAGAATTGAAAAAAGCAAAATAACCATAGAAAGAATATAATTTATTACTGCATTCATATCCACAAACTCTAGTTATATTTAAATTTGTAACTAGGCTGGTATAAATTGCACCTCCTTTATCAGCATGACACTTTGTAAAAACTGAACATTTTCTCTCGCAATGCTAATTGCTCCACCATTAATGCTTTCATTGACTAGATCAGTGAAAATTGACTTCTCAATCCGAAAAACCGGAAGACTCATGATAGATCATATGAATTTCGGAGTATTCATTGAATAATTTTACGATCACGCTCATTCAATTTTTTGAGGATAAAATTTTATTTCAATCGAAAAATAGAAAAAGTATTTTTTCCAATCTAATCTGTATGCTCACTCAGGTATCTCATTTCGCATCATACTATACCATATTGAAATCGAACTATTTCAACGATTCTTCTTTTTCATTATTTATATCAGCTATCATAGGCGCAATGTTTAACCAAATTACACTACTCAAGATTGATTTGAAACGAATTGATAACTGAATTAGATCTTGAGAAACCTTATATATGTAATTGAAACAATAGTTGATAAAATTCTTTAAAAATGATGCATTTATTTTGAAAAATTGAATCTTCAATCTCGCATTTTGAGCAAAAATCAATTGAAATGATAATATTTACTTAAATTACAACAAAATAGAGATATTTATCTATAAAACATATATTTCATACTAAGAAATGAAATTTGACAACTTTGACATGTCAAAAATGATTTTCTCCTTCTTATGTTTGTCTCTCTGCGTTAACCGAGTGAAATTTGTTGATAACAAGGAGTTTAGAAACCTTACAAACACACATGACACAGTTGTAGCCCTTATTCTTAGTGAAGATTCTGATCATTTTTGGCAATATTGCGAAGTTTTCTCTCATTCCGTTGAAATAGGGGCCAATGCAACATTCGTTGTTGTTACAGAACTAAATGCACCTAAAGCATATAGAAAATACACAATGTCTGAACCATGTTATTCATTTTTCTTCAATCACTCAGCTGTTTTTGCAACACGTGCCTCCATTGATTTAGAAATCTTAAAGCACGTTCTTACAGCATCACTTTTACGCCAACCAATCAAAATTTCAACAGTTGAAGAATTTAATGCGAATTTCGATGCATTTCCATACACAATCATTTCTACAGAAGAGCATATGGAATCAGCTCACTCCCTGTACATCAAACATTCATTTTCTAAGGGTCCTCTCGGTTATTGCCAAGCTCCAGCTTCATTTTTCGAAAAAGTTGGCTGCAACCCACAAAACTACATTCTCTACCGCAAATCAGAAGAGACATTTGCAGAATTCAACGGAACAGATAACGATTTAAACCGCGCCGCCCAAAATTTGTTAAATTACGAAATTGATCGCAATACAATGATTCTCAGTGAGCGCAACATCGTCACTGTTATCCATGATGGCGATGCCCACCCTATTGTTCCATTCCTTCCTGTTGCAAGACGTCATATTTCCAATTTGTACGGTTATCTCGATGAAGACGCCTATTCCTTCATCATCGGACTTCTTTCAAACATCCAAGCACCGAAACCATACTTAACAGTCCTTAATTTCACTGGTTTATGGGTTTCAGAACCATTATTAGATTTATCTGAAGAAAAAATCGAGGAATACGTCACAAAAGTAGAGAAAAACGAGGTAAAAAAGATCTACACGAGCGAACCAGTGAATGAAACCGAGGAATACAAGTTAGTTGGCACTAATTACGAAGAATTCCTCAAAAATGACGAAAAAGATACTTTAATTTTCTACATTTCATCATATAACATGAATGAAAGTATTCCTATGGTCAATAACTACAACTCCTATGCCAAATCCCACAATATTAACGCAAGAGTTGCTTATATTGATTATTTGAATAACAGTTGTTCACTTGGATTCCCTCAAATCCTCTACCAACCACATTGCCAGTTCTTCCCGGCCAAGAACTACGACAAATCAGTTCATGTTGTCATTTCCGGCACCATTCACTCAATTCTCAGATTCTTCAAAGAAAAAGGTCATAATGAGATAAATTTGGAAGGTGTTGATAGGGATGATGAAGTCGAGAAGAAGTTCATAATGGATAACATCTTTTATTTGTCGTTGGAAGACAAACCAGTTTTGAAACAATTACTTGAAGAATATACAGCAAAATACGGAATTTTGAGTGGAATAGGAACTGATTACAACACGACAACAAGAGTTTTGTTCAAAGGAATTCGTGGTGTAATTGATAACGAAGATGAATTTGAGGATGGAGATGTTCCTGGTGATGAATATGTTGATGATGATGACTATTATTATTATGAAGAAGATGACGCTCCAAAGTTCAAACCAAAGGCGTCTTTACTTACTGAAGAATTATAAAAAGTATAAAATTTATTTTATTATTAAATTAATTTTTTGATGTAATTACGCCCATATGACATATTCTTCAATTCTGTTTTTTAATGTTAATTCTTGGTGATTAAGATGTTGATGATGACTATTATTATGAAGAAGATGAAGCTCTAGAGTTCAAATCTCATTATGAATTTAAGATATACATCGACAATAAACTACGATATGATATTCCCACATATAAGTTCTTCTATACTTAATATGAGCAAGCATTGCCATTTGCCTTTAGTGTCTGAGCCCCTCTCACTAAGGATATACTTCCCACTTTCTGACATACTCTCAAAATCCATTGTTTTAATTTCTGTCAAGTCTGCCATTATAAATTGTCTGTTAAATCACTTTAAGAAAAAGAAACATTAATTTTATTATATTATAGTATACCATGCATAATTTAGTATGGTTTGAAGTTCCCATCTTCATCGAAGAACTCGAAGTATCCATCTGTGATGAACTTCTTAAGATTCTTGTAGTTCTGATAAACTCCGTTGACATAATAGTCTAAGTCTTCGAATGCATCTTCGATGTAATTAAAATCTGGCTTTTCATCATGTTCCCTCTTAATTCCACATCGAGACTTGAATCCAAGAAGTGATGCATTCGTTCTGTTCCTCAAGAATTGAAAATCATTCCTCTTCTGCATCATCAATGATTTGATATCTCTCGCTTTCTTTTCTAAGAACAATCTGAATCTTTCAATGTCTTCAGTATTCTTGTTAGAATCATGCTTTGTTATTTCTTCTGAAGATAGAGATTCATCAACTAACTTTTGAATTTGGTTCAAAGCACTAAATCCCATGAAGAACTTTTCTCTCTTAATGTTGTCATTCCGAGGTTTGATTACCAATGATCTATTACTAAATTGCATTAATTCCTTTTCTTCAGCACTTAATCTACTAACTATATTCCTCATTAATGGAAGGTCTTTATCATATATTTCCGAATCACCAATTAAGTAGTTATCAACTATTTGTGGAATAATATAACCACATTTTCTTTTTTTGGATGGAAGGAAATCAATTATTCTGAAATCTTGACCACGTTCCAGCCATTTTTTTGCTTGATAGTATTCATTTCCTACTGTAGGAGAATCGTGTTTATCAATGAATCCAAGATTACAACAATGTGCATCTCTTAATGAGAATATCTTAAAGATTATATCAATGACTGTTAGATCAACAATAGTTTTTCTCTTGAAATGTTGTTTAAGTTCTCCAAAAGACGTTCTTGAATTTACTATATCAATCCTAAAGTCATTAATATAATATTGAATGCAAAATGTTTTTTCACTTTCTCTAAAAGACTTAATATCAATAAAAGTTTGCTTATCGTTACTCAAGCTTTCTGAAACTATGTAGAATCCAAAGTTGATAAATGGATTGATAATAAAATCAACTTTCGCACCTAACTTGAGAGACTCAAGAACTTTGTACATAAATGGTTCTTTAAGATCGACAGTTCTGGCTTGCGTTCTGTCATACATATGATTTAAAAAGTTAGATTGATTGCCCTCATCCAATTCTTGTTGATATTCTGTAACAAAAAGTCCATCTTTCATGTTTTTTAGAGGATAGTTTTGATGAACTTTAACATAATATACTTTGTTGTTTATTGTGTCAGTGATTTTACCTCCGAATTGAGCTCCTGATGTTTTTATCTCAAATTTTGCACCAGATAATTCCATACCAAAATCATCTGTTTCGATTAGATATGGAAAAATCTGAGATCTTTTCAAGTATTGTTCAACAAACACATTGAAAAAAATTCTTCTCGATCCAAGAAAAACTCTGTTAACCTCGGAAATTTTTCCCCGAGGTAAGCAATATAAAGCCGTATCATCACGTTCCACATCAGATAATGATCTGATGAATTCCAATGCATCGTATTTCTTGTCAAATTCGAAGATGTTTGAAATTATTGGTAAAATTAAATATTCGCATAAATCTAAGAACTCATACTCGATTGAATCTGCGTATATACTTTGTGTCATCCAAAGAAAATACTTATACAGTTTATGATCTTTTCGATTTTTGAATTTTTCTAGGTAAACTTCTGGCGGATCTAATGGACCTTTTGTTTCACGCAATGAAAATATGGCAGAACATGCAGGATTATCAGTCATACACCCTATTGGTTCTTGAGATTGAAGATCAGAGTTAATTTGTTCTTCATTAAAACTTTCGTTTTCTGATTTTTCGTTGTCAGTATGTCTTGAATAATTCGTACATGACTTGTTCATAATGATATAACAATTAAGATTGCTTTTGAAAGTCATTTTTAGGGAAATACTTCAACGATATGTAAACATTCTGTCATTTTCGAATTTTTTTTTTGAAGATATTCAACTCTTGCTAATGTGCTTTGATTACAAGAGTATTATTTGGATTTGAATCAAATTTACTAATTCGAATGTTAATGAGGAATTACAATTTTTTTCTTGACATTTTCATCGAAGTTGAATAAATGTTTGCATTCCATTGTACTTGAAATCAGCATATACATATATATTTCATCTATTCGAACTTAGATATTTCAAGTTTTGATTTTTTCTTTATAAATCCGAAATGATAATGAATTCGTATGTTAGATAGTGGATATATTAATAAATATCATTCGATAACGAAAAAATATCGATTCGTAAAAATAATCTCAATTTTCACACAAAAACGACGGGATTGCATGACAAACATGCGCCGATCACACATTTGTTAATTGCGGTGCACGCAGCAATATTCCGAAGTTTTGATGTTTTGACGAATCTCATTTTTCACAGAAAAAACTGAGAGAAGATTTTATATGAATGATTATTACCATTATGAATGGTGTATGTCTCAATATCATTTTTAACAATTTTCGCATTCTATTGTTTGACGTTTTTATTTTTTGAGAATACATTGAAATTAACTAATGCACACATCGCTCATAGACAAATTAAGCATTTGAACTTCTTTATCATCGATTTTTTCAATGTAATTTCAATTTTTACAATCATTTATAAACTATTCCTCTGAAATTGAAATTTGAATTATTCATTCATTTTAACATCACTTCGAATAATGCAAGGAAGACCATATACAGAACAGGTAGCATCACCAAATTTACCAAAGAACTTATCACTATTTCGCATTTTCCTCCCCGAAGAGGTTGCAAACCATTTTCGAGAACAAGCAAGAAATCCTAGCCAAATTGCCAAGGAAATGTTTGATAAATACCTTGTTGCATCAACAGGTTATAGGTATTGCATCATGAAAACTCTTTTTGTTACCTACAGACAGTTAAATTATGTTATAAATCACCATAATGAAGAGGAAATGAAAATGATCAACGATTTTAATCAAGCAATTGCATTAGTTGTTACCAAACATATGACAGTAATAGAGAATAATGGAGTTACATTTACATATGTAACAGATTTGTGCGATGTGAAGATTGTTGAAGGTTGGATGGGTATGTTTGACATTGTTGGAGCAGATTATAGTCATTTCAGAACCGGCAAATTGAAGAAGATCGGAGATACGCTTTTTAAACTGTATTTCCTCCTCAACATGGAAATTCAAAGAGGAAAGTACCCTGATACAGGACTTCAAATCCCATCACCTGAAGAATATCATGATTTCATGGGAGCTGAAAAATTCCTTAAGAAAGAAGATCTTGATAATTTAGATTATTAATTTCATTCTTCAAACCCTGATTATTCATTTCGTAAAACCTAAACAATTTATTCTGATTTCCATATGTAATTGCCATTGTTTTTATGTAATTTGAGAATGTTTTCGAAATTCTATCATGAAATCGAAATGTTATGAATTTTCGTTAATTACTTTGTTATAGTATTGTATAAGAACATAGTTGTACTTAGATTATGCTATAAATCTCTTGATTTTTTCCCCAATCGAGATATTTTCAGATAACTTCAGTACAAACAAATTACAGACATGTTCTTTCGCTTTGTGCGGATCAGACACCACAACTACATTGCACTAGGACAGAGATCTTCCATAACCTCTAATCAAATGAGTAGACAAGGAAAAACTCTGCACGTTTCGTATAATTACAGAATCTTAGCTCTTTCTTGAACCAAGAAAAAGTAGTAAGAGAACTTTAAGGCAATGTTTATTACAATTTCTCTAATCGAATGAGAGATTTCATAATGAACATTACCAAATTTACATCTATAGCCATCAAAGGTACAGTGAGGAGTATTATTGTTCCTGAAAGCAATAACCTATAAATAATATCCCAAGTAGCACAAAATCTAAGCAGCCCAACTCCTATAAGATACTCCAAAGAATTCTAACAGATGCAACTATCTGCAATTCTTTCTACTGATTGCTCTTGAATCAGTAGAAGGAATTGTAGATAGTTGTAACTGGAAGTCGGAAAAGAGGATCTTTACAGCTTGCAATCCTACGAAAGAGATCTATGGAACTCCTGAAAAGGCTTAAATACTAGTGTACGCAATAAAAAAATAAAATGTCAAAAATATGGTTTACAAAAGGGTGTCAGATTTTTGCGCAACTTGTTTTTGCTCAATGTCTCTACAGTTTGATTGGGAGGCATTGAAGCCTTTTGTTCAAGAGAAGATAGGTGAAGCTATTTCCAAAGTTCCTATCGATGCAAACCCAATGCTTCGTTCAAAAGTCAGGTTGGTTTCAATGGATTTGGGAACAAGTCCTCCATTTGTTGCATTGACAAGAATTTCGTCACTGACATTGAAACAACAAAAAATTAGCGCGATTTTTAGATATAGAGGAAATGCAATTATTGAAATTAAGTGCGATCTTAATGTCAATGCGCTTGGCGCGAGATCAGATCATTCTCAGAGCATGAGAATGATGGGAATGATTTACACATCCGCTCCTATGATAATTCCATGCAGATTTTTACTTTCAAACTTTGATATTTGTTTCAAAGTTAATATAACTCACGGTGAAACGACATTTATTGAATTTGAAGAACCACCAGTTGTTAATTTCACAATGGATAGTAATATTGGAAAATTAGGATACATTTTTAATTTATCCTTGCGACGAATTCAGAAAATTATTAGAATGGAATACGCTAAACTCCCTCCTAAGATAGAAATTAAAATTCCACAAGCTTGATTTGGGAGAGTAACAAAGTTGAGCAAAAATACGACATTTTTATTTTTTGATTGTCAACACTATTCCTTTATGCCTTTTCAAGAGATCTATAGCTCCAAACCCTACGAAATGAAGCTATGGAGCTCTTGAAACTCTATCAGTGGAGGTCTCTTCCCAGTTCTGCCTCTGCTGATAGAATAATTTGCAGTCATTCCTCATCTTTAGTAGAATAAGTACTGATGAAAAAAAAAGAAAAAAAAAAAAAGGTAGTGGGGCCTCCAGGCACTTCGTGCCCTCTAGCCCTGAAGATGTTTAGTATAATGAAGTTTTTTTTTTCTTGGGATGGCCTTCCAGGCGCGTTGCGCCCTCTAGCCCATAAAAAGTTTAGTATAAATGAAGTTTTTATTCGGAAAATTGTTAGTCTTCTGGGTCGAAAACATTATATAATGTGTCGCTTTTCACAAATTATATATGTTTTCATGTTTTGTCACTTTTCTGTCACTTTTCAGGAAAAAAACATTTTTATTATTATATATAAATGAATTTTACAAAACCACCGTTACCGTTCTTTGGAAATAAGAGTAAATGTAAAGATATTATATTGAGAGAACTTAAGAAACTACCGAATGGTCTAACATTTGTAGATTTGTTCGGTGGAAGTTTCTATATATCCCATTTGTGCCATACAATATTCCCAGACTCAAAGATTATATGCAATGACTTCGACAACTATATGGACCGTCTCAAACATATTCCAGACACAAACAATATATTGAAAGAGTTAAAAGAAAAGATACCTATAGGTAAGATGGAACGTATACCATTAGATAAGAAAAATATTGTGAGAGAGGTTTTGAAAAAAGCAGAATATATAGACTGGGATAGTATATCTGCTAGACTATTATATAGTGGTTCTATAAGAGTTCATGACATTGAAACACTTATGTCAAAAGTTTTATATCTTAACTATACAAATGTTTTCAAAGAGGACATAGAAAAATATATTGAGGGTATAGAGTTTGTGAGATGTCATTGGACAGAGTTGTATGAAAAATATAAAGACAAGGAAAATGTTTTCTTTATAGTGGACCCGCCGTTCTATAACACATGGGATTTTCAATACCAAGTAGACTGGACTTTGAGAGACTCTTTAGAAACTTTAGACGTTTTACATAACCATCCATGCTTTTACTTTACATCCGATAAAAGTGGTTTGGAAAGTGTCATGAAATTGTTAGAGGACATACATGACTATGAGTTTAGATATGACAAGATAGAATATGAGAGAGGTCCTATAAACCGGAGAAAGTGTCATAACAAAGAAATTTTATTAGTAAGTAAATGTGGTTTGAAATAGGACTACTTGTTTTAGGTTTTTTCCATTGTGTCATTTATTTATTTGACGTGGCAGAAAGATATAGAGAATATGAAGATGAACCAATGCCTGCAAATGTTCAGTATATGTACTCGTAAGAGATATTTTTATCTAATATTAAATGGACGCACAGAACTTAGCGAATGCACAGCAACCTGGACAACCAAACCCAGAGAATATTCCAAATGAAGTTAGAATACAAACTGCAATGGCAAACTATGGTCAAGTGCCAACAGATGTACAAATGCAAACTGCCATGTCAAATGACGCTGCGTTAGGTTTGCCACCATGGTATGCAAATATGAGATGGAAAGAGTTTTATACAAACCCTGAAGTGGGATATAAACAACTTTATGCAGATGACGCGAACACAGGAGTTGACCCAGAATATGTTTTCTACCAGAGGAGAAACAGAATGTATGAGCTGCAGTTAAAGAATGCTATGGAACTCAACAGGAAACGTAAGAGACTAGGCGGACATTAGATTTTTACATATAGTAAAATGGGTTTCTTCAGTAGTATTGGAAACTTCTTTCGAAATGTTGGAAGAGGTATATGGAATGGAATAAAAACCATAGGAAGAGGAATTTGGAACGGAGTCAAAAATATTGGTAAAAGAGTAGGTCAGTTTGTTGGTATTATACCTAAAGACCCTGAACCAGAAGAACAAGCTCCTGTTATACAACAGCCTGAACCTGCACCACAGTCTAGTTGGCAACCAAATCCAACACCTCAACCGTATTAAAAAATTATATTTTTACCGTTCGATAGTAGTTGTATATGAAACTAAGTTCTAAGTAAAACGCATGGTATAATGGAATTATTCTTTTTCTTCCATCTGTAGTAAACCATACTTGAAAGTCTGAAATACTTCCACTTGGTGGTTCGTATAACTTTGTAGGTTTTTCGTAAAAGTCATTTGCCAAGCATAAGAAAGAGTTTTGGGCGCCAGAAAATGAAGCAGCATGAACAATAATAGCAGCTGGGTCGAAAACATTTTCATATGTTCCATTAGGGTTTTCGACTTCATAAAAGTCTGGGTGTACTGGATATGCTGCAGGCTGATTTAACATCCTCATAAATCTATACCATGCCAAGTTGTTATATTTTGTAGAAATATAAACGTTTTCTCCAAGGTCTTCTATTCTATTGATTTTAACAGTTGCATTTTTCCTGTCATAAATAATATCGAGATGGTACTCTCCTCGTCAATGTTATACTGGTTTGCATATTCGATATAGATATCGTTTATTTTTTCTTGAAAAGCTTGAAGAGTTGTTTCTAAGTTTACAAGCAAACTAACTTGTAAAAGTTTTCCCTGTTCAAATTTCTCATACATACGTTTTTCTTTGTTATAGTATCGAACTTCAAAACCGACCGTAAATGGGAAACCATGTATGGCTTCTGAAATGAACTTCATTCTACGAAAGCCAATAGCTTTTGTGACAGATGGGTCTCTTAACCATCTTAATGGGTAGTCAAAACGATAGCCTTCATGCTTTACGGTCTCTGTCTCAAACTTTTGACCGACATTAGTAAAAAGTTCATCTAATGGTTTAGTTGTAGCAACTCTTGAATTTTCTTTTTCTATTGAAAGCATATTTTATCTAGAATAAAAATGTCGAAAGATATTGCTTCCATAAGAGAAATACAACACAACCGACAACTCATTATGCAAGCTCTAAATAAGAACACAACAAACTTTTCAAACTATTCTAAGATATCTGAGTCATTGAAAGAAGGGAACTTAAAACTGACATTAAACCCAATGACAGATGAGTTTCTGTTTCAAGACAATAAGAACCATACTGTCTGTATAAATCCAACAAAAGGAACTTTAAACGAGAAACCTATAAATGAACTTCTTTTGAAAGCAGATGTTGACAACAAAGCTGACAAAGAATATGTAGACGATGCAATAGCAAAAGAAGAAGAAAGAGCTAACAATGCTTATGCAACAAAAGAACATACTCATCCTGAACTAGCAGACAAAACATATGTTGACAATAAAATGTCAAGTGAAGTGACGAGAGCTGAAAACGAATATTCTAAAAAGACTCATACACATTCTATATCTGAAATAACAGACTTAAACGTTAGCCTTGAAAAGAAAGCGGATAAGGAATATGTGGCTAGTGTGTTAGTGAAGAAGGCGGATAAGGAATATGTGGATGAAAAAGATAAAGAAATGAAAGAAAGGGTTGACTGGTACCATGAATGGACATCGAAGACTTTTAAAGTTAAAGCCGATACAGGATGGGTTTCAGGATGTTTAGACCTTAAAGCAGATAAAACTTATGTTAACGATGAGTTAGAGAAGAAAGCAGACAAGAACCATACACATACAAGTTTTACAACTGTTGCTATAGAAAGTATTGAAGGAACGGTTGAAGAAACTGGTGGGGATGCAATATATTGTAAACCTCCTAACTTTCCACAAGGTTTAACATCGGATGACAACATAACGACGATGAGAAACATTAGATGTAAAGATGTTTATGTCATGAAGGATGAACATAATATTAAATTCACTGCTCAAGATTTATATGACAAGAAAGCAGACAAAACAGAGCTTCAAACATTAAAGACAGAAATACTTCAAACATTATATCCTATAGGCTCTATTTATACGTCAATGAACTCTACCAGACCAGAAGTAGTACTTGGTTTTGGAACTTGGACTCAAATAGTCGACAGGTTTTTGTATTGTGCAAACTCTTCAAAGGAAACAGGGGGAAGTAAAACGATTTCAGGTGAAAATTTACCTGCACATAGTCACTACATAGATTTAAGTACATCTCAAGCAGGTTGGCATAAGCATAATTTTTGGGATTGGTCAGCAATGAAAAAAGGTAAAGGATATGATGTTAAAGACGACGTTCAGTTTGCTATAAATTGTTTCTGGGGTAACACTCAGGGAGATGGAAACCATACACATCGCGTTTCAGGATATACGCAAACAACGGGACAAAGTAAAGACTACATGCCACCTTACATGACAGTTTACGCATGGTATAGAAATGCTTAGTCGTCATTTTCAACTTCTTTAGCATATTCGTCAGGAGTTGTCTTATATTTGTTAGGAACTGTCTTTGAAAGTATACCACCTTGAACTTTGACAAGTTTGAAACGAGGTCTGACAATAGTAGTTTTATCTTCTGCTTGCAGTGTGTACATTTTGCCATGTTTGCCTAAAACTTCATAATATTCTCTTGTATACTTTCTTCTATTTTTACGAACACGAATGTGAGTACCTGTCGGGTTCCCATTGTTGTCATAGTCAATAGTATTTTCATATGGGTCGCGTTTAGGTATTTCTATTTTTACTTTGTCACCTTTCTTAAGTTTGAAGCCCGGCATTCTTTCTTGTTTGTCTCTTTTGACTAAATTATTAAATATATAGTCTTTCTCTAAGTCAGGGTTGTTTTTCATTTCTTCGGGGGAGTGGTTTCCCAAACCTTTTTGTTTACGGCTATTGTAAATATTTAAAACTTGTCTCATCTTTGCCATGGAGAAGTGTCTATATTTGTCGTCATATGACATTTCATTTGCTTCACCACCTTGTGGTTGGTTTAAGTCTCTTAACATTTTTATACAACCGTCAATGACACCAAGAGCAGAATGGTTTTGGTCGACAATGAAATATTGGTTTACATTTTTTGAACGCAGATAGTTTTTTACATCATCTGATTTGAAAGAACTTTCACAGTCAGATGTCAGTTTTGTTGGATGGTATTTGTCAACGAATATTGTCAAAGCTGCTAAGATATCTAAAATATTTTTGGACTGTAATGGTATGGCTTCACAGTATCTTGTGTTTTGACCGACAAATATTAGCCAGTATGGTGGTCCATCTTCTCTATACCTCGGAATGTTTTCCAAGATATCCATAAACCAAGCATTTGGTGTTGAACTAAAGATTTTTACCATGAGTGCTTTCTTTGTCGCTTTAGAAACATAGGGGTCCTTGTTTGGATTCGTCATTTTTTATCCTATAAGAAATGGGTTTATTTGGCGCATTAGCAGGAGTTGCATCCAGATTTTTGCCCGCAGTGGGAACAATAGCCAGAGGTGTATTTGGAGTTGGAAGAAAGATTTTGAGTACATTAGGTATACTTAAAGAGAAAGCACAACCTATTTATACAAACTGTACAGAAAGGTTGGGATGTAGCACGAGATGCAACAAATCTTATTCCAAATCCTGAAACAAGAGGAAAAGTTCAAGGATGGATGGACAATGTAGGAAGACAAGCAGGAAACTATTATAACAAAGCAAATGACTACTATAACCAAGCAGGACACTATATGGACCAAGGTGAAAGATTCTTTAACAGAGGATATAACCATGCACAACAGTGGGTAAACAATAACCAACCGCAACCACCTCAAACGTGGGGAATGTAAAGTTTTTACTGAGATGAAATGAACAATACAGCATTGAGACAAATGGGTTCAAGATGGATTTGTCGACTTCCAGCAGTTACACAACGTGTTTGTCAAGTTCTTCCTATACCTCAGGAAGTTTTAGACCGACTTAAAAAACCTAAACAACCAGTTGAAAACAAACAAACTAAATTTTTTTACTGAGATGAAATGACCGAAGAAGTTGAAACGGTAGATTTGACACCACAAACAAAAGTTCAGAACCATTGTCAAAACCTGTCAAAGAACTTACAGATGAAGAGAAAAATTCAATAATAGAAAGTGCCAGGTCTGGAAATACAAACCCTAACTACAAAGTCACTTTTCATAAAAATGGAACGGCAAGTATCTCAAAAAAGAAAAGACTCTCACAAATAAAATATTGAAGTCTGAAGGAGCTTTCGAGACAACAGATGGAAAAGTTTACTTCACTGACCAATAGTTCATTATAGAACATCTCATTGACTTAGAGTCGAAATATTCTAAACTTTACAACAAACACAAAAAGTTGAAAGGAAAACAAAAACAAATGGCATATGATATTTATGAAGATGTTGACGACACAACTGTTCCTGCAGGTGAGGTAAAGTCAGAGAAACCGAAAAGTGACGAAAAACCGATAGAAGAAGAAAAACCAAAAACTGAAGATAAACCAAAACCAAAGTTTAGTTTGGAAACTAAACCAAGTCAACCTTCATTAGCTGGTATGGGTTGGCGTCAAAGACTTATGGCAGCAGGCGTTATGTAAAGTAAAGAAAAAAATATTTTTTTATTTTTATAAAAATGCCCCCATATAGAATGGATAGAAAATCTGCTAGAATAAAAGCAGAGTTACAAAGATATGGTTGGAGAGTTTCGAAGAAGTTTATATAGGAAGGGAAGACCCATAAAAGTCTATGACAAACTGGCTGGTCTGACCTACGAAATGGATTTGGAAACAGCACGTGCCAATTATCCAAACAGACTAGAGAGGTTAGAAGAAGAACGTCTTATGGACATGCCTTTCGATGTTAGTGAACCTCAAGTTGAAGGACACGACGGCTTTGCCAGATTCTACTGGAAACATGACGAACAATTGCATCCTTTGAGAAGGAAAAAAGGTAGTGCAGAGGATGGTCATGCTCCCATGGAAAGAACAAGATATGCATATGAGAAGTACCGTGAAGTTAGAAGTCAAATTACATCTGGTCGAACCTTTACAGTAAACTTTGACGAAGGAAAGAACAAAGAAGGCTTCATGGGAGTACTTGCTGCAATTCAAGACGGAAATAAGAAAGGACACAATCTCAGATTGACCATAACAGATTTGGATGGTCACATTTACTATGCAAATGGCAATGAAACAGCTGCAAAACTTCTTGACGCTTTCAAGACTACAAAGAGAGAACAAATGGTTGACTCCGACTCAGACATTTTGAATGCAATTGAAGGAATTGCAAGTGTCAAGTTTCGAATGGTACCAACCTAACCCTCAAGCAGTCAGACAACATGCTGGATACTTCCCGTTCATAAATAAGTCTGACATTGACTTGACAAGGTATGGAATTTACAATTCAATTGAAACAATTGTCAATGAACCTTGCATTCTTACATGTCTCAGGAACTCTGGTCTTGTTACAGATGAGAAGATGAAGTATCTTGAGTCATGTGTGAAGACAAGGTACATTCTCAGAGGTCAATTGGCAAAAAATTGCACCGTTGGAAATGTCAATATCCGAGTCAACATACCTACAGCTAAAGGTTCTTCACATGACGACTATGTTGTTGAGTTCAATTTACCATGGTTGAAGATTGCAATTGTCCACAACTTCATGTTGAACGAAAGTCTTACAAACCCATTGTTCGGAAAAGGCAAGTGCAACATTGTCAGAGCTGTAAACATTCTTTTCGAGAAAGGTTTGTTGGAACCAATTCCAGATGACAAAGCTGACAGAAACTTTTGTACCAAAAGACGAAACAAACTTTTCACTGTTAGCAAGACCAAAAGTTGTTCCAGACAAAGTTCTAGTACAAAAGAAGTACACAATTCACAAGGAGTTGGATTGTTCGGATACCAACCTGAACCAGAAGAATTTCCAATGAGGTTGCAAGAACTTCAAGATGCTATAAACAAACTTCCATTGAGACATCCAATTGACGTCAAATTGTATTGGAGAGCATCTGAGTTAGGTCAGAAGG